AGGCAGTCGTCATAACCAACTAGACCATTCCAGCAATCTGCAGGAACTAAAATTCTACAAGCTCGCATCTCATTATCATTATCTAATCAAACAGCTAGTTTTATGAATACTGGAGCCGAGAATCGAACTCGGGACCTACTGCGTGTGAGGCAGTCGTCATAACCAACTAGACCATCCAAGCAAGCCAGTAATCATGGAACGGTAGTGCGTAACGATCCAAGCAAAGGCACACAATGCGATGATACTGGAACCGAGAATCGAACTCGGGACCTACTGCGTGTGAGGCAGTCGTCATAACCAACTAGACCATCCCAGCGAGTCAGCAAGCACGGAACGGTAGTGCGTAACGATCCAAGAAAAGGCATACAGTGGGATGATGCTGGAACCGAGAATCGAACACAGGACCTACTGCGTGTGAGGCAGTCGTCATAACCAACTAGACCATCTCAGCGAGCCACGGAACGGTAGTGCGTAACGATCCAAGCAAAGGCACACAGTGGGATGATACTGGAACCGAGAATCGAACCCCGGACCTACTGCGTGTTAGGCAGTCGTCATAACTAACTAGACCATTCCACCATCTGCAGGGACTAAAATTCTACAAGCTCGCATCTCATTATCATTATCTAATCAACACAGGTAGTAGTATGAATACTGGAACCGAGAATCGAACTCGGGACCTACTGCGTGTTAGACAGTCGTCATAACCAACTAGACTATTCCAGCAATCTGCAGCGACGAAAAATTCTAGGAGCTCGCATCTCATTATCATAATCTAATCAACACAGGTAGTAGTATGAATACTGGAACCGAGAGTCGAACTCGGGACCTACTGCGTGTTAGGCAGTCGTCATAACCAACTAGACCATCCCAGCAATCTACAGGTGATCAGACTCTATTAGTGCGCACCTCTATGTGATAATCTAATCAACACATTCAGTCGCATGAGTATTGAAACTGAGAGTCGAACTCGGGACCTACTGCGTGTGAGGCAGACTCATAACCAGCTAGACCATCCCAGCAATCTGCAGGCGGCATGACTCTGGTAGCGTGTAAGGCGCGCCATGCACCGCTATCTGCACCCTTCGATTCCGATTCAGAATTCAACTCACTCTCTGATTCAGGAGCATTGAGGAGCTTCTCGCACATTTGAAGTTGCCACAGCCAACTCCCGCGCCATGGGAAAAATGATGTCATGATGAAACCGGCATTTTTAAAGAACGGAACTCCAGCAAGGCATTTTTAAAGAGCGGAACTCCAGCAAGGCACTTAATTTAATTTAGCCATTTAAGGCAGTCCGACCACGTTAAAAATGAACATAGGATTGAATTTTCCGCTCCCAAGCGGTATATCGTGCCAGCCTGAAGAAACTTAATAAGATACTGTCGATGACTTGCGTAACTCGGCACCACGCACATCAGAAGCTTCAGCAATGTTCAATGTTTGATGAAATGAAATCGTGCAAGCGAGATATTACCACAGTATGCAAAGACAATATTAACATCATTAACAACAGGTGTGCTACTTCACGTTCGCTCAATTACAACTTTCACTTTAAACAGAAATTAGTGATGAATGTGGCCGGGGAACATCTGCGAATCGGTGGCCACGATTGTTCAAACCCAATGGCCAAACAGTATGCAGCTTTTGCATCCACCAGCGCTCTCGAGCTCGCCGTAGTCGGCCTTGCTCTAACGGGTTTCCAAAATCCTCCTCAGTGAGACTCTCGAGAATCATCACGTCGAAATTGTCCAGATTTGCTCCTTGAAGGCTTTCATTTGAGTTACCTGCTCTAACTAAACTACTGGCAACCCCAAGCTGACATCAAACCCTTCACCTGCGCAAAGAGGGCAAATATCTCCGTCGCTGCGATAGTGGATGCTCATTGGACCGTTGGCCTTCACATGAAGATGAGTGCTAACTCGATGCCGAAGCTCCCGTCTTGTTTCGCCGACGTAACTGGAAGCAGGAAAGAAGTGAGGACGGTGATACAGTGTACCAAAACTTACAGGACCCCACAGCCACGGCACTCCAACGCGTACACAAGGTTACTTGACCTGCAGCTGAGCTCTTTTTCTTCCATCCACCCATGGTTGAGTGTTCTAATTTCAGGGCGCGTCTCCCGTAGAACCGCACAGGTTTTGCACTGGGGGTTGTCGCAGTGGACGAGTCGTATCGGAGGCGGCAACTGCGAAAATACCCTCAAATTTTGGATCCCACACTGCCCGCGGGCTGAGCGCTATCATACATGATGAAGATGAGCTTACCCATTTCTGACTGAATTGTTTTTCGAGGATGAGGTGCCATGTATTAGGGTTTTCTTTCTGCACTAAACGTACAGTATCGAAGTTAGCTTTACTACAGCTATGACACCGATGCCGTAGAGGCACAAGTGGTGAAGTCCTAGCAACAATTGGAGCCGATCGTCCGATGGATCGCGCCAGGCATGAAAGCATCAAGCAAACAAGGTACAAACACACAAATGCTTGCAGTCGAGTTGAGCATGTTCTTTGCAACTCCTCACATGACACTTGCAACGCAATAGCGGAATGAGCTTCGTGCGAGCCAAATGCAGCGCTTGTCGTATATAGGTAATAATGATAGTGACAGCAGATAATTGTATCATGATGTGGCAGCTTAGGACTGCCGAGTTAAACTCGATGTTAACACAAACGGCTAGACGTTAGGTAATTCAATCATAGGCGTGAAGGGGGATCAAAGCGTGGCGGGGGCAGTCCTCACAACTCCTCCCAGTCAGAATCGTCGGAATCGTCCACAATACTGAAGGACTCCTCAGTCAGGAGTGAGTCCGGATCTATACTGCTAGTCGTAACCGATATGATGTCATCCTCATGTATATAGCGAAGGGATACCGTATGCGTAAGATACTCGGGAGGAAGAAGCATCTGGTGGAATAAAGGATAGTATATCTTAGCCAATATCCATTGAGATGGATTTGGAGTCTTCATGCCTAGGTTGGGAGCCCAGCAACATGAGGCTTCTGCGGGAACTGGCTCCACCTCGATAGTATGAGCCGGAATCTGAAGCACGAAAGTAGTGTAATCACACGAGCTACTCCCAATGCTCCTATGCTCACCCAAGAGGGATTCTGGAAGGATTCCCTATATGGTGGAATCGACTGATATCTCTCGTTGGCATACTGAACTTCCACCCAGGAGGAGAGGGACCCAGACAAGCACCGTCGGCGTGTTCGAGGAGGTTCTGGAATTTCAAGGGTGTCTTGAGGCGGATCCAAGGCTCGGAAACCCAGTACAGAGGCAAGCCGCAGTGGGAATTGTGGCATTGTATAATCCTGACTACGGAACAGAGATGTAGGAAGGCAGGCTAACTCAAGCTGTTGCTGGTTGCTATGAAATAACATCATCCCTAATATGAGCATCGCATGGACTCGACTCTTCCCCCAGACTCGAAATTGAAACTTCGTGTTGACTACGGGGCACCACTAATCCGCAGCTTGGAGGGGCACCTAAGCCTACCCGGAGAACTCTGCATTCGATGATTCACTCGCAACTAGCAAACTCTCTCCGCCGATATCACGATCGCCATTCGTCAAATGACGCGATGCGAAAGCCTCCATCTTGGATGTACAGTCACGGTAACGATGGAGGATCTGATCGCAAAGGTACCGCACCCGATGACGGAGCAGACCGAGATGGAGCTAATCCGCAGTTGTGCAGGGGACCCACATGAGGCATGGGAACAAGGTCCTCTTTTCCCCATAGTTTTGAGATTTCTGCCACTTGAGTGGTTACGCTTTGCCGCTTTGCCAGCCCTTCAGAGGAATGCGGCCGCCTAATTTAGAGTGGCAAGCACTTCAAGAGCGCATGCCGTTACGATTCTGTTATAGATGTGTCACCATCAGCAGTGAATTCTTTCATCAACCGCTCTTCTCTTCGATCTCTTTCCTCTTGCACCTGCCAATTAGCAGCATTATCACCGTCCACAGCGATAATGGCACCTCGTAGTTCCAGCGTGCCACTAGTTTGCCAAGCTCGGCCTCTCTGGATCCCAACCATGCCTCTATCTCCTCAGGTCCGCTCACGACATCCCATTCTTGTTCGATCGCCTCTTCTGAGAGACACCTCGTAAGACCACATCACACTTTAGTAGCTTCACCATCCGTCTGATCTTCTTCTGCTTCAAGTTTTACCTGACAGGAACTAGCTCCGAACGTATGGGGAGGACGAACAAGTGTGACCTCAGGAAGAGTCTCGAAGGGCGACACACTCTTTTCCACCTTCAAATGTGATGCGCTAACTAGCCATACACGATCCGTGAGAGCGTCGAACTCGAATTCGAAAAAGCCTCCCCAAAGCCTCCATTGCGGGCTCAGTAGATCTGCTATTCTCATCACACTTCTCCGCACACGCTCTGAAAATTGAGCTTTTTCCGGGAGGTACAGAGCTCGTGCATTCATGCCTTCTAGTGGTGATGGTAGCTGCTCCTGGACATCGTCACCGCCCCCGCTGCCAATAGTCACCACTGCTTCTGCACCGGGCTTGAAGAACCGATACGATATCGGCGTCGAGCGGCGGCCACCGGGAAACTATATACAAGATGTAGGGGACCGAGCCGAGTTAGCGTAGCTTCAAGCTTGATCCGGTGCAACTCGAGGGCAGAACTGAATTTTTTAGAGAGCATTACGGAGGAGTTCTCGTCTCTATAAGGCCTCGTGGAGAACCATGCCACGTCCAACCAGGCCGTGCGATTAGTGCGACGTTGAAGTACCATTGATCGTAGCTGAAACTACAGCTGGAGCCAAGTTGTGATGAGGAGACTCGCCTCGGTTGCCGATACCAAACGAACTGCTCCGTCAATGTAACGTATGAGAAGGACAGCCTCGCAGTCCTTAAAAGGCTCACACGTCTTCTCTCGAACCCGGCCTACTCGAGAAAACTCTTAGACACACAACTATGGCTAATATAGTCGAATAACCTCACTTTCGTCTGCTGCATTGATATCACTGCTGAAGGCTCTCGCTATATATGCTTCACTCTGGCCGTACCGCTTTCGCTCCAAACGGTATAAGGTCTTCAGGAGCTCACCTAAAGCCTACCAAGTCCAGAAAAGAACCTCATCTGAGCAGATAAGTGAATTCCGTTTCCTAACCGATTCTCATCTCCGAGACATTGTCACGCCTCTTGACTGTCATTGTCAGGATGGAACCCTTCTCTCCTCCCATCGCGAAGAAGCGGAAGGGGATACCATTCCGGAAGAAGACAACTTCGGGGACGCTCACAGGGCACCTTTGGACGACATGGCTTTGTGTTGTAGTCACCTTTCACCTTGCTCGAGCTTGCACAAGTCGTGAAAGCAACCATAGATATCCCCGGGCAGGCTCATCCGGTGATGTAGCAAGTGGATCCTCTAACCCGAACTCAAGTGATAGTCTCAGCACAGGACAGGCACTGGTGACATTGTAAGCGCGGCTATTGCTAGACTGCTGGCATGACGGGCAGCTACATGGGCCACCTGAAAAAGGATCAGCCTCAATCCCAATGAACTGCCGCCGCCACAGGGCGTTCTGCAGAAACGGTTTCTGGTACCACCTCTGGCGAGGGCAGCGCTGGTATTAGGTTCCCTCAATTCTTCCGGGCGATAACGTATGGCTAAGGACCGCGGCGTGTCCGACACAGTGAGGTATTTTTCAATAGTCGACGAGGCCCTGGGCGAGGAATCCTGGAAAGGAGCATAGCGTTGAAAGCACTAGAACAGCAACTCTCACAAAGGCTTTAGTGCGTATTTCCGGAGCTTCCTCTCGGTTAAAACGTGGCTGCTGCCCTTTACGCTCCAATGGTATGATAGTCATTTATACACAAAAACCTAACGAGGGGCAGCTGATGGAGGGGGGGCATAACGAAAGAGACTGGGAGGACCGATGCAAATTCCCACTTTGGTCATGCCGTGAGAAACAGGAACAACTTTATTAGACGCTGAGCGCATCAAGCGATGACACTACTTGAGCTTTCTCGTAGACAAAAGGCCAAACGCGCGTCGAGCT